TCGTTTGACAGTTTAGCAAATACACGTGTTCAATTGAAAATATTGCATTTTTATTTAGATAATCCTAAACCCGGAATACAAATTTAAACTGAACTAGTTCTGGTTTTTTATCGATTAATCTGCAATTAATCTCTACAGATTTTCATTGAAGATTTTTCTTTATCTAATGTAAATCGTTTGGTTGAAATACCTTTAACAAACGAGCTTGTGACGCTAGTTCTGTTTGCAAAACAGAATTTCGTTGATCGTGCACTGATCATCCTGATCAGTGTATTGGAATGATAGTTCTAAGAGTTCCGCAACACGATGAAAATATCCAGTTGTCTTGCTGACTCCGACAGAAATACAATAGTAGGTTTCACATGTATTACGTGAACAGCTCAACACTGCGTGATCTATTGAAACCGGCTGAATTGCTAAGAGATCCGCTGTATCCCGGGCGTTTGTTTGTGATCGACTATCGTTCGCGTCACGTATGTATGTATGTATGTATGTATGTATGTATGTATGTATGTATGTATGTATGTATGTGTATGTATGTATGTATGTATGTATGTATGTATGTATGTATGTATGTATGTATGTATGTATTTGTTTGTGAGAGGAAAACCAGGATGCAAAAGGCACTCACACCAATACATGGATCTGGATTCCTTCGAATCAGTCCCGACTAAAGTATGAGCGGAGTAAATGAATTGAATTGATCATGCAGAAAAAGAAATGGGTTGCTTCGGTTACATGGAATGGACTTCACTGTAGGCGCACGTGGAAAAATCAATTTGGTGCACTAAAAAATTTGTCAATCAATATGATTATCCGGTAATTCTCATACGCAATGAGAACCGTATCCATAACACAGTAAACGCGTAGATCACGAGATGGCTAGCTACAACAGCAACAATACGGAGAATTTTATACTGTCCAGTGTGGGCTGGCACAAAAAGAAATCAGTCACTTACCCTTGGGCAGAACCACATAAGTGGTCAACACAGACGAGGTACGTCGAAGCCCGGATCGACGTTCTCCCTCCTCGTCGGATGCGAGGGAGTCTAGTTCATCGAAATTGCCCGCTTTGATGGTGTTTCGAGTATCGGGAACAAGTAGGGAAAATTCATTGGACGGGCTAGCTCGACCGTCCGAGGGAATGTTCGAAATAGCATACTGGTCCATTTTGGCGAACTGCGGCACAACCAAGGTAAGCGGTTGATGAACTTTCGTCGGGCTATGATTGGATTTCTTTTGGATCGGAGAGCAATCCGAGACGTAAGCGAACGTAAAGAGAATTAAATGTGCAGTGAGAGTGACAGTTTATATGCTGTTCTGTCCATAAATAAGAATCCTTAGGTGGTGTTTGTTCATTTCAATTTTTAAAACTGTGTAACATTTTTGAGGTTCTAGTAAGTTAGAGGGCCCGAAGTCAGCTACGTTGGAAACTGGTGTTTGCATATCAAACGATCGGCTATATTTGAACGATCGAAAGCTGAATAACGAATGTAGTTTTGTTAAACGATGAGGACGTATAAAAATTGTCAAGATCGAACCGGGCTAGATAAACCTCATAATTACGAGAATCTGCTGTTGACTCATGGAAACCGGTAACCGAATACTCGGTACCTAAAGAGGTGGCCCACGTAATGCCTCACTAGGTTAGGTGAAGGCAGCAGAGATGCTAACCACCAAAGTCAGGTGCAGTTGTTGGAGTCAGAATCTTGGACCTTAGGGGCTAAAGCACGTTGGTGACAGCACACTTAGGCCATTTGGCTACGATGACCACCTCACTGAAAACCGGCAGGTTTTTTGATCAACGGCGAATTACCGAGGTTGATTAGTCTTAATTGTTTCCTAAAGACAGTTGCAATGTTGACATACTTGATTACTCCTCCAACTAGCAGAAGTGTTTGGTGCATTTGAATTGACTTCTATGCCAAGCGTCGTGTTCATGTGCCTCTGTGAGCTGTCCAAACGTGGCAACGTCAAATTGGCCTGTGCGACCTTGTAATCGAAGAATAGGCGTGGTCCATGAATGGGAACAAATACCGTCGAGGCTGCTCACCTATTTATCGCTACGTATATCAGTTAATGTGTTTCGGCCCTACTCACAACCAGAACTCGGCATTCAACGAGATAGTTGAACGGTTTTGATAATCATTTACCGTCGAAGTTTCGTTCTGGATTTCAATAATGAGCTTATTGCAAAGTGCTCTTTAGTGCATGCTTTAATTCAAACAAACAAAATAAGAAATCTGTCGAACAAATATTGTGTGCAACACTCATAGATTTCAGGAGTTTAGTTCATGTGAAGTACATATTCCAAAGTTGGGCATCACCGTTCGACGACTCAACTATCCTGGATCACTCAGGACTTTAAAGATGTGACAGACATAATTGATGCCAAGAGAAATTCAAGATTACTAAGAATCGCAACAAATGTATCCAGACAAATGCTTGTGGTAAGTGTGCGTGTTGACATACCGGTAGCTTTTCTTACTATAACTCTCGTTCATCTAGAACGACATCGTCATCATCAACAGCAACAACAACGACAACAACTTATGGAGTTCCGATTACGCCTGGTACCATAATCGACATTCGACGAGTGTCTTGACATGAATCACTTCTAATACTGCTCATCCAGCCTATGTATGCAATGCATAGAGAGTGATGGAAAAGAGCCTTTGCAGGGAATCATGTTCATCTAACAGCGAACATCTGCTTGTAGAGCTGATCACTCATTGGTTGAACCCGATGGACTAAGACGAACATCATTGCCAAAGACCATTCGATGCCCTTCGAGATCTAAGAAAGTTTCAATTTGACTGTTCTTATGAATAAGAAGATCAGACCGAGCAAGCACAACTAGTTCTTCATCTAAATAATCTAATGATTAGAAACGAAACTTAAACTATGTTGATGATGGATCGCTTCAAAAGTAAAGCAAGATTTGTCAGTCGAATTTTTTCTTCTTCTCGGTTGCTCAACATACATCTCCCAAAAGCCTCAAGCTCTTGGAAGATTGCCCTTGAAAACTGAATAACCCTCTATCTGGAAATTTGCAAATAAAGTTTCATGGTGTTCCCATTGATTTTTTTTTTAAACTTCCACCAAGCCATCATGTAGATCCAGTCCGATACTAAATACGGAATGCGGGTGAGGGGAGTACTTTTTCTTACCAATCACACCGAGACTATTCCGGTTTATTCCAAAGCCTGGGTTCACAGCAGTGATTGGTCGAGTTTGGCTTATATGGTTTTGGAGTTGTAATTTCATCATCATTTTCCCCAGTCAAT